AGTTCAAAGAAAAGCACTTTACAATATTTTGCTTCAAATTTATGTAACAAAGAAGCTAGTCAGGATAGTTAAAATGTGTTTCAGCAAAACCTCCACCAAAATTCGAATAGATAAAGTTTTGTCCGATACATTTCCTATTCAGAATGTTCTGAAACAGGAAATTTATCTATCACCGCTGTTTTTTAGTTTTGTTTTGGAATATGCCATCAGGAATGTCTGAGAAAATCAGGTCGCTTTCAAATTGAATGGGACACATCAGTTTTTGGTCGATGCTAATTTTATTAATCTGTTGGGCGATAATATAAACACTATAAAAGCGGACACAGAAACATACTTAAGGGCTATAAGGGATGTTGGTCTATAAATAAATGCAGAAAACACAAAGTACATGATTATGTATTGGCATGAGAATTCTGGACAGAACCGGGATGTAAGGATAGCTAACGAATCGTTCGAAAATGTGACAAAATTCAAGTACGACGGTAATAAGTCAGAATAATTTTCATTACGAAATCAAGAGTAGATTAAATTCAGGGAATACTTGCTATCATTTAGTCGAAAATCTTTTGTCCTCCCGTCTCATAAAAAAACTAAAGATTAAAATATACAAAAGTGTAATTTAGCCACTTTTGCTATATGGGTGAGAAACTTGGGAGGAACATGTGCTAATATACTTGGAGAACAAGGTGTTGAGTAGGATATTTGGACTTAAAAGTGAGGAAGATAAATCACGAAGCGAATTGCAAAATAATGAGCTTCACGGCCTGTACTCCTCACCTGACATTGCTAGGGTGATTAAATAGAGGATGATGAGGTGGGCGAGACATGCGGCACGCATGGGGGAGGGGAGGATATTTACAAGGTACTGCTTGGGAGGCGAGAAGGGAGAAAACTGCTGGGTGAACGTAGCGAATGCGGGAATTTAACTTTAAGATGTACCTTACAGTGACAAGAATCAATGGAGCAAACTAGATTCAGCTAGCTCAGGTGGCTGGCTTTTGTGAATACGGTGATAAAACTTCGGTTTACGAGGTGCGATCGGAAAGTTTCAAGACTGTACAATAGCGGGCGAACCGGATGTATTACGAGCTTCTGCCGCTAGGGGGTGCGGCCTACATTCATAGTGAATCAGTGTGCCAGCCGGCATCCTCGAATTAGCATTTGTTTCTTAGTTACGGGCGTTTTTGTAGTGCATTACACCGACCCTCCTGCGATTTCGGAATGGCGTGTGCATCAAATTTTGCCAAAGACTCGCCAAAACGGCTACGGAAACCTATGAAATGCTAAAGCAAGCATTTGGGGAGTCCGCAATGGGTCGTGCACCAACTTTTGTGTGGCATTCACGTTTTAAAAATGGCCGAACCTCTGTCGATGATGACGAGCGTTCTGGACGACCATCTTCGAGCACAACGCCCGAAAATGTTACGAAGATTCGGCAGGCCATTCACGAAGATCGACGTCGTACCATCAACGACTTGTGCGACATTGTTGGGATAGGCTATGGGACCTGTCAGCTGATTCTAAAGGAATAACTCCACATGCGACGCATCATGACAACGCACCAGCGCACACCGCCTTCAAAGTTCGGCAGTTTTTGGCCTCAAACACCATGGCCGTCATCCTGCACCCTCCTTATTCGCCGGATTTAGCTCCGTGTGACTTCTTCCTCTTCCCAAAGATGAAAATTCAGCTAAAGGGATGGAGATTTGAGACGATAGAAGAGATTCAGGCAGAATCGCAGATGGTGCTTGACAGGCTGACAAAGAAAGGTTTCCAGGGATGCTTCCAGGCTTGGCAGCGGCGCTGGGATCGTTGTGTTCACTCCCAGGGGAACTACTTCGAGGGTGATGGATGAATTTAATACCTGAGATAAGTGTACGGGTTTTTATAGGCGCAGTCTTAAAACTTTCTGATCGCACCTCGTACATGAAGAAAGTGGGCTATTCTTCGGCAAGCGGAGCACACAATGAACATTTCAAATATTTACTCCGCCATAGAGTGAGTGTTATCAGAATGGTGCATTTATTGCTCACTGTAATATCTATATGTGACTTTTGTACGTAAAGAATGAATTTCGAAACTACTCTGCTCTATTTCTTTCTGTACTACTTTTTGCGGGGGTCACAGTGGCCGCGAGGTCTGAGGCGCCGGCCTTGTACCGCTTGGACTCTGGGACCGTGGGTTCGAATCTCACTCAAGCCATGGATGTTTGTCCGCGTTGTTCTGTGTTGTGCTGTCCTGTGTACAGATAGAGGCCTTGCGAGTCCTACCAGTATCCCCCAGTACTATTTTCTGCAGTAAGTCCCTAGTCAACCCAATATCCCTCCCGAAATCGTGAGTGGTCATATCTGCTGTTAGGCGGAGCCAATAAAAGCGCCCCTCTAGATCGTAACAACACTAATAATTGTTCGGTAAACAAAGCTGGCAGTGGTAGTTAACTAATGAGACGCAGAAGCAAATTGTTCCGCCCGAAGTGAGGTTAATTACGATTTGACATTTTGTGTACCTGCGATTGAGACAGTTTAAACATATCGATCATAGCCCTGCTTTTAGCGTGTGGCTTACAGTTTAAAGCCTCAAAGTTTAGTTGAATCCCATTAAATTTAACCCTGATATTACACAAGCTCGCAACAAAGTGTGTCCGTATTAGAAGCCGGCAAAGTTCAGTTATCTGTTCATCTACTCAATGTTTGTCCTTGGCCATCTGTGATACAACATTGCACTGAGCAACATCACGTTACAATTGTATGATTTTGGTTTTACCATGAAGAACTACTATATTTCGCCCACAGGTTTGGCATGTTGATTGGGCATAAAGTTTCAGGTAAAATTTGAACTAAGCCTTTACTAATCGACTGCATCGTCAACATATTTCGGTCAGTTTGAATGGTGATCGTGAATATTTCTCGACTGCCACCGGCATTTTTGTTCAATATAGGACAATAATGCGTCGTGCTGTCGGCCTCTATTCTTTCCAAATTTGAATTTTAATTAGGATTTTACACGCTACATGACACAAAACCATACATTAGAGGACGTTTTGGAAAACGTAACGAAAAATGTGTATTTCAACTTCCGTGATCATTAATTTATTTACGTATATAGTCTACGGAGTTGA